GGGCAACTACGAGACGTTGATTACGGAGCCGAAGGCGCGAGTGACTCCTTTAAACTAGCCACAGCAGAGGGGCTTGAACCTTCATCTTCCTGGTGCTTAACGGGTTCAGGAGTTTAGGGTTTAAAGGGTTTTGGGTTTACCCAAAGCCCTTGTAGTGGGGAATGAAAGTGACACCCCCTTGGTCCCTACTATAGGATAGTCAACAATATGTTGTTTTCCATCCTCTTTCCATCCCTTCACTCCCCAGTGACAACTAGTACTTAACCCAAACCCCATACATTGCTGCAACTCCTCTCTTTTCATGTCATATTCTATTTGCTCTTCCACGCGACTATCCCTTCAAAAAGCCCCTTAATCTCCAAAACAGCACACAACAGCATCTGCAGCATTATTGTTGCTCGTAGAAGGGAGTTCTAGCTGCGACTGTCAAAGGCACGGTGCCCATACACCTATAGGGGGTTATTGTACAGTGATATGGGGGCTACATGCTTTTCTGGATTTATAGGTGTTACAGGGACATGTCAAGATTGTGGTTCCATTTCCTGTCCCATGCATATTAGGAGCTGTGTTATCTCAGGGTAGGGGAAAAAGGAACCATAGTTTTAACAAGCCCCGATCTGCTTTCTTGGTGCTCGGAATCACAGGACTAGGACTGTCATGTCAGCGGCAGCAGCAGTAGCGGTAGCAGTAGCACGAGTCATGCATTTGAAGCAGCTATACACCCCGAGCCTATCTCAACCCTACACCAAGGTCATTAGCAACTCAATTGTCCCCAATAGAGACTGAAAGTATATCATCCTTTTATGCCCACGTAACTCTTCAAGACAAGAATATGCTGTTGCTTGCCTCTAGCACAATTTCAAACCCACCCTAACTCCTACATATCCGTCCCATATATATTCCCTATGCTATTTACCGCATTTAAGGGGCTTTTCGTAGGCTTTTCTACCTAGCATGGAACCCTTGAACTCCAAAACCTTAAACCCTCGACTAAGTCCTAAACCCCAAGCTCTAAGCCCTCAACCCTAAACCCTCAACTAAACCCAAAGCTCTAAACCCCAAACCCTCAACTAAATCCTTAACTCTCCACCTAAGCCCTCAACTAAATCCTAAACCCTAAATCCTTCACCTCAAGCCCTAACCCCTCAATCCTAAAACCTCAGAGCATGTGGACTTCGTCAGGCCAAGGGGTTGGACATCGTGGATGCCCTGACCGAATATTTCAAGCAGAGGGCTCAGTCGTGGTTTGGGGCTTTAGGAAAATGTGGTGGATGTAGGGTCTTTTAGGAGTTTTGCGGGGGGGTTTAGGGGATTTACCTTGTAAGGCATTTAGGCTTTGTGGGGCTTAGGCCGGCTTAGTGTCCAAACCGCGATGATGCTGATGACACTGGTGGTGATGTAGGGTCTACCTAGACCCCTCCAATGTAGTACCTTTTTTTTGGTAGTCCTAATACTAGTCCTAAGCAAAAAAAAACACACCAAATCCAAAAAGGAACTACATTGGAGGGTCCAGGTAGGGTTCGGGGGATGGTGTTGATGATGTTCTTGGCTCGTCTTATTGGTAGCAGGGAATGAGGGAAGGGAAGAGATGGTTTAAGGGCTTATTTGGGTCAGGGGGACCTAGTCAGTAGGTTTATGATGGGGATAACTGGGGTGACTATATGGGTTATAGGGGCTTGCTAACCTACTTACTAAGTCCCCCTGACCCTCCAAGTAGGGTTTAGGAAGC